GACCTTCTTCCCTTATCGCTTGGATTCTCTTGCCTTGCGCATATCACATCATGATTGCGTACAGGCAGGGACCAGATGTGTTACATGATCTGAGGCCCAGTCCTGCAACTGAAATTATGATCGCAAAACTTGTGAGGCCCCAAAGATATACCCCAATACACACCCGACCTTCGGCAGTTGATGAGAGGCCCTGAAACCCAACACCCAACCGCTGAACCCCAAACCCTGAACTGTAAGGCACATCTGCAGCCTTCTCTGCACAGTTGGGACCATCGGCAGTGGCCTCGTTATGCATATGGAGGGTTCAGCTCTGAAGCTGGACAGGGCCACAGCAGCATGGTAGAGGGAGAGACGCGGGGTCTAATCTGCCAGAAGTCCTTGGCGCAAACAATACAGTCAACCTATTCTGAATCCCTGGTGTGAAACAATTTGATGCACATGATTGTGGCTCATTGACTAGAATCGCCAGATCCGCTACAAACTGTGAGAATGGCGACTTCCAACGCTGAACAGGCACAATTCCACTTAAGAGCGACCCCAAGCAGCGTTGTAAAGCAATGCTCCGTGCAGGTTCCGGATTGCTCACTTTATCCCAAACCCAAGCTTGTAAACCCAACAGATAACTCCAAGGGCCCAAACCATCAAGTAGCTCCAGCGCATCTCCAGATAGAAGGCGAAATAGCAAACCAACAAATCAAACGCAGAGATTCATCAGCCCCCCAAGGCTTTGCTGGAGAAGCAGGTGGATGGCAGCAAATCTTCAGTCCTACCCACAATGCAACTCTGCAGAGACAGCTTTGCAGGACTCTTCAACCGCTCAATCGATCTTGAATCTTGAGACTGAAAGTAATATCAATCCTGAACCCCAAACTTCAAACCCAAAATTCAAAAACAGCGCTCTCGAACTTTAGAGCCTACATGCAAAGCCTGGATACTGACCCCTTGGATCATAATTTCTGAACCTGAAAGCCCTGTCCGAGCCCTACGCCCTGAGCACTTCCGTAAAATGATTAACGTGCAGCCTTCCATCCTCGACCTCAGAATGAGAAACCTGAACCTAATGAATGAACTTTTCACCACGTGGCGCAACATGACCATGCAGAACTCCGGCACGGGTGAGAGCCTTTGGCATCCCCAATCTAAGGCTGAGTGTGAAGGTTCGAGGGATTTGAGTTGAGGATTTTGCCTTGTTCGATGACCATCGTCGAGCTGGAGGCTTCTCAACACAAAAAAAGGTTTAAGTCTTGGGGCTTGGGTTAAGGCTTAAGCTACATGCACATCACTGCAATCGCACCCTGCTGTGGGATGAGCAGGAACACTGCTGGATCAGAAGACTACAGAAGACTTCTCTTTCACTGTGCTGATGTTCTTGGAACCCATCCAGGCCCCGATTTAGTTAGAACAACACTCGCTGGAGTAAAATCTTAGGACAACAGGCATCATTATGACTATGGTAGTGAAAGTGATGACCGAAACAGAACATCACTGGTGAAGATCCCAGGCTGTCCTCTCTGGGGCTTCAAGGTCAGGTTCAAGCGAACTCTACTACAATTCTGCAAGCAAGTTCTCCAAACCTCACACCCTCCGTCATCTAAAGCTTTCTAACCGCACGGTAAGCTGAACTGCAGAAATTCACGCTCCAAGCATCGAAACCAAATGCTTGTTGTTGAATTGTATAGCCTGGACTTGTACTGAAATTCTTTCGTCTATGGGTAGGGTCTACAGGTTTCGAAATTTCTGGCGAAAGGCAGTCTGCCGCCCCGAGCCGTTGTAAAGCTACATTGCCCTGTCTGTAAGCTCTCCTTTAAAAGCCCAATCCAAAACCTTGGCCCACTCCCGAATCCCCTTACTACATCCTATCCTAAACCTTAGTCGCCTTGAGTCAGCGTAGAGCACTTGGCATAGCACAAGCCACCCGAAAGCTCCTGGTTTGACCGTCTGGTGCTTCGGGGATTCCACTGGAAGGGTTTCAGGCGAGGGTTTGGGGCATGGAAGTTTGAAATTGAAGATTATGAGGTCACAAAAGAGCTCCCGGTATAACCTAATACCCAAGCCCAACCTCAAACCGCTTGGCTGGCAACTACTACCTGAAAGCTACAGTTCAAATCAGACATGTCCTTCAAGTACGGATTACGAGTACGTTCAATCTGAACTCCTATTCACCAGCTAAGACTATGACACCACCAAGACCACACGGTCCTGATCGGAGCTGCCTCAGCCGCAATTGAGCACTTGTGCTGGAATTACTTGTCAGACATCTGTGGGTCTCTTAGCCATTTCAGTAGTGCGGGCCGAATTATAATGGTGGAATGCTACATATGAAGAATACGCAGCAGAATGAAAGTACCAATTCATGAAAGCGGCGGCTTGAATCTCAACAATCGTGAAATAAGGCCAACCGACACTGAGCTCATTTGTAGCCTTCAGAGTTTTGAGCTGCCGGTTCTGGTGTTGGGCTTTTGATTCAGAGTTTGTGAGTTCTGGTGTCAGACTCCAGGCGTAGACGCTACACCCAAGGCTGAGGGCTAGCCGGCTAGCGCTTGAGGCTTCAGGTTACCTGAAGTCCTAAGCTCCGCACAAGGATCCTTGTCGCTGCTAGCTACCTGGCAGCACAAACAGAATCTCTGATTTGCCTACTCCAGCAAGGATGGAACAAAGCTTGAACTTGAACCAAGACCAACCTCTCCAAGCACTCCCACGACACAAATGCTTGCACACATGGAGAATGCACAACCTGGGGCATGCACACAGTAGCAGTGCGGGGTCCCCGAATCCTAAGATGACGCGCCCAACCAATGCCCAAACAACCACTAGAAATACGGTTCCTCTTAGAGGCCTTTTTGGGCCCCTGCTTTGATCAAACTCTACCGGCTTTGAATCAAACCAACAAGCTAGAATTTCCAAACTGTTCCTACCCCAGATATGATGCCCAACATGAGCCCTGAACATGAACAAGTTCTACTTCTACAAATGGTCTCAGAACTACATGAATTAAGATATCCCCAACTCTGACTCCCAAGCGTGCATGCATACGAAAGCGCACGCACCCCGGATTAAAAATGAATAAATGGACCTGAAACCTTGCAACATCAGATGGCGGCCTGGGGAGCCAGAGCAGACTTGGAAGGATCGTCCTCATCAAAAAGCTTAGGGGGTTAGGCTACCCTTGGATTCAGGGCTTTGCCATGTAGACATTCGCGACGGTTCATTGAATGACAGTTCATTGCTGGTACATCGCAGTTTTTCAGCGTCTTATGTCAGAAAGCAGCCGCGTGAAAAGCCAAAAATGGATTCTTTGTAAGCCGTTCATGAAACAGGTGAGGTTGCAATGCTGATGGTAACGAAAAACCGGAATCTTTACTGCGTACAGCCTGTCATACTCAACCGTTGCATCGTCATACTCCCCGGTGTTCTTCCTCTGCGTGCAGGATGTGAAGCTTAGGTAAAGCCCTCCAATTTCAATTGAGTGCGTGGGACCATTCAGGACTTAGATCTCGTGAATTGGCTCTAAAGTGGCCGGCTTTCCAAAGCAGACAGGGTATAGCTGTCCAGGGTATGTGAGATTGCGGGCCGGATGCACACATGTTTTGGGCCCGGATTGCATGAAGCCGACGCCAACCATTCTCGTCACAAATGTTCTGTGTTGCGAATATAGCGCTCGTGAAGAAGAAAGGAACCTGTTCTCAGGCAAACCATGTGTGTTCGCAATTTTGAGATTCGATCCTTGACAATCAGCAAGGCCATGCCTGAAAGCCAGACAACAGTACACCCCAAAACCTGGGAAACCAATCTGCAAGCTACCCGGTGGCCGGGACGCGCAGCCCGAATACCTGTGTACCCCCAGCAGATCCTGAGAATAGGACAGGATGCCCCTTTGCAATCCACTCGATGACGCAAGATAAGAAGGTCGTGGGCATTTGTTAATTGTCACTTGGCTCTCCACATGGCAGTCGGTCGACATTCCAAAAGAAAACAATTTGGAGTCATGGCATCGGTGAATGCTCAACCTGAAGCGTGGCTTGGCCTGCAAGTCCCGCAAGCAGACCCCACATGGCCTTGGAACCGTGAAAAGCCATTGTCTCTGCGGAGTCTCTGTGGTTTTTTATGAACCACAAAATCCTTCAGAAGCAGCACCCTTAGCTGTAAAACCTGCTTACACTTCTTCCTTGAACACCAACACCTTACTGAATCCCTGAAGCACGACATCCTCACGCAGAACCCGCCCTGCCTAATCTCTCGACATTCCCAAGATCAGCCTTCCGAAGCTAAAAACACCCTGCCAGGACCCGTGCCGTTGGCTTCGCAGTTGGAGGCTCCACAGCAGCAACCTCACACCCAGAACACAAGGCTCCGGGACTAGTGGAGGGCTCAGGTTCAAGGATTGTGCCCGAACCCTGCGCGAAACCTCGACATGCCAGACATCCTGAACTCCAAGTTGCTATGTGGTTCAAAATTTCGTGGAATGTGAGATTGGATGCAATATGATGTAACATCCAGCAGGTTTCCGTTGCTCCAAATATCATACAGGGCTACCCAACTGATGCTAACTGCCATCCCTCAAGCCAGAGCAGTAAGCCAGGGACTGTAGATGGTAAATGATCACAACACATGACAACGTGACAACAACACCTAATATATGTGCCTAGTGCCAACACAGCATGGGTGGGCTGCTGCAACAGTTTGTTTGAAACTGTGAGAACTCAACTCTTTACAAACAAATGCTGCAGATAGTTCAAAGGCCAAAGCCCGAACTTCCCACCCACCCTCATCTGTATATGCAATCTCAAAAGGAAGGAATCTCGAAAGCTCTAATTTGACAGAACGGCTCTGGTGCACAGGGCAGAGTCCTCAAAACCTTGAGACACTTTGCGTCATTTTATGAAGCTTCTGAAGCTGCAGCTCGGTAAACCTTCTGATGCGGCTCATGGGCCTGCCTCTAACCGAAAAATCATAGATGTACATGCTGAACCACTTTCAGCCTGCACCCTGAAACCTTTACCTCAAGCCCAAACGGTTACAATCTCAAACACTAAAACCTTCAACTCCACCGGTGGCACGGCAGCAGGGGCCACTGGTGGCACGGCCGCAGGCGCCGGGATCTTTGGCACAGCCTGGGGTCAGTTCACCTAAAACCTCAGGAACACCGCTTACTTAAAGAACTTGTCTATATGACCACACAACTTTCCAACAGTGTGCAGGTAGTCCTTACTCGGAACGGACGTCCTTCAAATTCAGAAGAACAAAAAATGATTTGAGAAAATCTCTTACTTTCTTCAATGAAGCAAGCATTCCATTAGCATCAGCTTCCCTGCAGTGGTTGGATTCCTAACTCTTTTGAGTTTATTCACCTAAGCTGCACTTGGAAGCACTTTACCCATGGAGTTACAGCCAAGGCTTAGCTTCGACGATTCCTGCTGCAACCCCAGAAACCTTCAGAAAGCATACCGACCAAGAGATAGCTTCGGCTAATTAGTGCTTGTGATTGTTGATGAGGACATGTGGAGTCACTGTGGAGTTAGTAGGTTGAGGGTGTTCTGAAGGGTTCTGGAAGTAGGTGCTTCGTTGCGCAGGGCTTCTTATTTGTACAAGACATTGATCTTAATTTGAACTTTCCGGCCTTGTGCCACCATGGACTTTTGTTGTACTAACGAGGCGGTCACGTTGTAGAACGTCCCAGCTGCTGAGCCCTTCTGACTCATTCTGTAACATGAAGTCTTGTGCTAAAATCAACCCCAAACTGTTGAACTGGGACCCTGAGCCTTGACACTTAGTCCAAGACAATCGTAGGCAGCTTGGGAGGCGGAGGGATCTTCACAGCCCCCTGGGCTGTACTTGAAGCTTGGGGCTTACGACTTCAGGTTAGGGTCTTTAGGGTTCTTGGTTTGCGGTTCCGGCCTTACGGTTCACTTTCAGTGTTTAACGTTTTGTTCTGCGGCACAAACACTGAAAGTCTCAAGGTCCCCCGAATATCTTCAACCCGCGGGTGGTTAAAGGTTTAGTCACCTTCGATCGAGGTGTCAAAAAAAATCCAAAAGTTTCAGATATTTTCTAATGGCAAACGCGTCGAGACACGAATGGCAAGGGGATCTGCAAGAATACAGCCTTGCTGAAAGCAGGCACATCTGGATCCTAAACTCACATCCGAAACCTTCGAGAGCTCATGTTCACTAACTGTCAGCTTGTTAACCGCCAAAGATTTCTGACATTAACTCTTCTGGCACAAGAACCATAAATGCTTCTCATCGAGAGTCATGGTCCATGGGTGGCTACAATTTCAGGTGCCAATTCTAAGATAAGGTTGGGAACGGCTTCAATATGCCGGCAAAGGGAGTTCCACATGTCAAGCCAAATTGGCCTGAGAAGCGCTTACGTACATAGTTCCTCGTGAGGTAGATGCACTCCGCCACACCCATCATAGCGTCAACGGGAAGTGCCGTGTGCTTGACCCAATGTTGACACTGCATGGAATGTGATTGATTAGCTCTTCCATGGATGGTTAGTATCCAATAGTATTTGCATCTTGCTCGAGATTGATCCCACGCTAGTTCCCCTAAAAGATCCAAATCACTTTCCAAAGCCCCAACCCAAAGTCTGAGCTCGCACGAAAATCTTGCTGTCATCCTCAATTGGGCAGAACATAGTGATATAGGTGGCATATTTAGAGGAATGCATACTGGATCTCAACTCTAGACCCTGAACCCCTTGAAGCCGCTGCAAACTCCTCTGGATGACCAAACACCCCAAACACTCTGAACCCTGCAACTAAACCCGTATCCCGCCTAATGTCATTCTTTTTCCAAGGGGCGAAGGTCAGGGCTGGTGCAGGGGCAGCGGGGGCGGGAGCTTGGGCCTGCAAATAGAAGGGGAACTTGTTGGTCCGAGTTGTGGGTTTAAGGCTTTGGGCTTTGCAGCTTTGGTGTAGAGGCAGCGTAGGCCTTCGGGACCTAAGGTCATCTGAAGTCCAGAAAAGGGCTAAGAGGCATTTTGGGGGGAAGACTCTCGGCGGCCCGTCTTTTCAATCAGTTGTTCCTCGTGATGCGTCATGATAGGATCTGCTGAGGTAAGCTTCTGGGTGCGCAGCATGCGCCGTAGCTATGGTACTTTGACAACCGACATACACATATCAAACCACCTCCCCCCTTCCCCCCCTAACGCTGCACATGCATCATAGCACAGGACTTGAATCGAACAGAACCCATGGCATTTTCTGGCTGCCAACACGCCACAGCCAGCCCACAAAATGTGTCCTTACCGCGGAAACTCAACAACGCAACGTACGCACGAGTTTGCGCTGTGGTTGCATCCCGTACTACGGCAAGAGTCGCTGCAAAAGATTTCGCCATAAGTTTTCTGAAAAAATATCCCAACAACAAAACTGCCGATCTTCTCACGTAAAGCAACTTGTACTTCCTGCATTAGCACCGCACTCTGTTTGCGGATACTCATGTAGCTGACTGACTCACCACCTTCACCTTCAGCGGGAGTGACCTGATGCCTTCTTTACCTCAGAAATGATGTTTGGAAGTGTTGTGCCTTGCATCTAAGTAGTTTAAGGTTGCTTTGAAATGAATCCTGAAAGCTTGACGCTGAGCTCTTCTGGCATTCAGCCTTCGTGCTAGCTTCAGCTCTGGAACAGTCACCAGTTTAGTGACGTCTTTCAGCAAGGTGCTCTCCAATTGCTGCAGTTAGCGTGCGCTCACATTTGACAAACTGGAAGATTGAATGTCGCAGTATGGCTTTGTAGATGTCGACCTCGGTGGCTTTTCCCGCCCTGGCGTCATCAATGAACCATTCGTGCGTCGGTCTCTGTCTGTCTGTACGTATATACATACGTACATATATACACATCTGACATCGGTGCTTTCTTGTTAGGATCGTGGCGTCGGGTTGCTGCCCCAGACCCCAAGGAAAAAAAAGTCTCAAAACACGTATGCATGAGCGATGTCTGCAACTCTGTATCCTCTGATCTCTAACCCAGTCGTCCCAATTCAAGGGTCAGGCTCTTCAGGCCTTTCCCTGTTCCTAATCAAAGTCTACATTTTCAAGCTAAGCTTATCTGCTCCCGCGAATGATGGCCCTCAATGGACATAGGAACGCCAGCGTTCCTAAGGCAAACCCATATGAAGGGTGCTTTACTCTGTTGTCTGCACTGTTACGTTGTTCAACACTTCTACAAGGACCATTGCGAGGAGGCCTGTGTAAATGAGACCGGTAAATTTTCGAAAACATCATGTCTCGCAGACTGGACGACAGCCTGGTTGAACATGTTGGTCAGCTGAGCCGCGCCATTGCTCATCGCCCTCAAGATCATATGATGAGAGTTAAGGTCTGAGGGTTCCTACCTAGAGTACATGCCCTGCGCGAAACACCAAAACCCGTCTGTTAGTCCTGCGCACGAGTCTGGTGTTGGGCTGGCAGTCTAATTGTCTTCGGGCGGAGTGGTGCAGAGTCCCACCTCTACGCTGAGGAAAGGATATCTTGAAAGATATATGTCTTTCTCGTTTAGATTTGTCCTTGTCAGTTTGCGAGCCGGCTGCCCTTAACACCGGTGCGTGCCATGCGCTCCGGTGCATGTGGGGTGGGCATCTGTTGTATACCTCAGCTGCGGGCGCGCCGGGCCAAAGCCTGTTTGCCAAGTGCTTGTTACTAAAACCGTAATCTTCTGACCGCTACGCCCCTACACCAATGCTCCCTGAACCGTGTTCAAGAGTTGGGTAGTCTGATGTGGGTGCATTGCGGCGGACATGCCAAGCATAAAACTCATATATGAAGTCCGTTCTGTTGGGAGGAAGGTGTCAGTTGTCCAGAAAGAGCTGATGCTTCTTCTTGTACAGGGATTTTGCGCTTGTTGTATCTAGCTTAGGAATGGCCGTGCTCAGTAAAGCCTCCTCGTGATGCCTGGGAGCTCTTATCAAGCGCTTCAGATTTCAGTACTCTGGCTACTTATAGTCGCTGTGCCAACGGACGCACTAATCTCGCGTTCCTTGTGGGTCTGGGCAGGAGGAGCATTTTCTGTTGGATAGGTGCGCGGTGCACTCAACGTGCCTTCACCAGCCCCACACATTCCCTGAACAAAAAACCTCCAGACCTCGTCAGAAATCTCTGGATTCTCCGACTTAAAAATGTTAAGGGGCAACGGAGGTCCTGTATTGTGAGCAGCACATCATTATCAAAATGCCGTGAAGCCTGACACCAAGAGTTTGACCAAGCCATTCACAACCGGCAGGCCCTGGGGTTGCCGAACATCTCCAAAACGAAGCGCTTACATGCGGATCGTTTCAGAAGGAGATCAGGTTTGAAGAGCTTCAGGGGAGAGTGCAACACCGTGCAAGGCTCCCAAACAGAATCAAAAGTGCAGTGTGTTATCCTGGTAAGGAAAACTTCTTAAAGGCAAGCATGTCTACCAGAAAACAAGCCATATCCTGAGCATACAAACCAAAATCATGCGCATAGTCTTGAGAAACACCGAATCTTCCTGCGCTGTAAAAGCCATCTGTCTGGGAATTGCCCACGAAGGGTCCCACTTACAATCCCACCAACACTGTGCAAAGGATCTGAGTTGAGGCCATCCTACATCCATGAACTGGCCATAAACAAGAGAATCCCCACAACGATGCAGTGCCATCCGCGTCGCTTTCCCGCATCGCTGTTGGAGAAGGAGTCCTTGGCCTTGAAACGGTGCTTCAGGTGTCGCATGGGCGCCCTGCATAGAAATCATAAACCAATTATGGGTCCTCCTTAACAGTCTTAAGGCTTACAAAGGGTAGCTTGGGAGTTGGGTATATGTGAAGGTCCAGGGTCCAAGATGCAAGCAGGACGATAGGTTTGTCATCTGCGAACATTTCCGAAGCAGGAAACAAAGTAAACGCACTAGGTTTGGATACCATTCTGGCGAACCAAGGGGAATACAGGGCTAACACTAGGACTCTTCTACGGGCGACCCCCGTCCGGCTGCAGGGACCGTCTTTATGTAAACCGCTGGATATGCTCTCACCAACTCCTAATTTGGAGGACAGCTCAGGGAGCTCGCTACGCACCTTTCTGCAAGAGTCCTTCTGCATATGCGACTGTAGTGCATGGGATTTGGTAGTAGTTGATTTTCCAGATCCAAGTGTGCGACTCAGGGCTTCTGAAATCCTACTCGAAAAATCTAAGACCTTTCCTGCTTCAGCTGTTGGAAGCTACTTTGCGCTTAACTCGATGCAGAAGCGCAAGTGCCATGCTGACGAAAGAGTTTCTCGTGCTTCTATGGCGAGTTTTACGCATGCAAGTGCATCTGGGCTTCCTTGTTGTGGGAACTCTGCTCAAAACTGTATGATGATGAGTACTTTACCAAAAAAAAAAAAACAAGGCTTAGAGCAGGATTACAGGGGGGGCCTCTACCTACTCCTCTCATTACTCCTCTTCCTCTACTTCAAGAAATAGGCAAGGTCCTTGGACGAATCGTCGCCGCCCATGAGGTTCTGGCGGATGTGGAAATTTGGTGCGTGCTCCAGGATTACAGTCTCATGTTCCGTGTTACGGGTTTTGGCTTCAGGTTTCAAACTGAAGGCTGTGATTGAAGTCCTCGCCATGCAACAGGATGTCAATGGCAGGCAAAGTTCGGGCTTTGAGAGTCTGGCTGGCATTCCTGGGTTTCCATGCTCATGGACTCAATGAACTGCCTGAGCGGTAACACACAGAATCTGAAGATAACGCATGCAACCATGCACTCCAATGCAACCATGTAGTAGACCCAGGTTACAAACCACAAGCCATCCCTCAAATCCTTCACTTTGGCGTAATTAGAAAACCGAAGCACTTCCAAGTTCTTTGTAGCCACAAGATCCCACAAAGAACATTCGTTCGCTTCTACTCGTTTGTCCAATCTTCAAGTAGCTTGGGAGTTGTGTAGGGATCTTGGCGCCCAATTAAGTCAAACCCGCCTCCTTCAGAAGTGCTCCTCATCCTCCTCACCCTCTGCCCAATTAAGACATTCCGAGGCATCCACTAGCATTTGAGAATCAATGCAAAGGGAGCCCACAACATCAAACTCCGAAAACTGAGCCTCTAGTGCCCCAACATATGAGTTCTAAACCCCACATTCCTCAGACCCTCACACCCCTCAACCTTTCATCGACAAAGGAGACCTTCATGAGCGACTTAGCTGCCGCTGCAGCATCCGCCTCCGCCTTACAACGTGGGCTTGGGCTTTAGCTTCAGGGTTTGGGGTTGCGGGATGTAGGCTCTAGGAGTTAAGGATTTGGAGGCTTATGCCATTTCTTCGTTGAATGATTGCCTGGTAAAGAAGCAGACCATCCCCTCGCCATCAGGTACCTGACGCCATGATTGAAATTAGCCGTTTAAGGATCTCCTACAGATTGCACTGGTACCCGAAGCCCATGAAGATCTTCCAGTGTTGGGTTTTCAGACAGTACTTTTAGCCAGCATCCATCAAGCTTCAATCCTTTCCCGAAATCTTGATCCCCAATCCCTGGGTATCCGTTAACGCAAAACCCCGAAGCTGGAAACTTCCCGAGGCCTGCGTCTGGGACCTCTTCACAGTCTGGGAAGCAGAGCTGGCGGCCTTCTGTCCACATTTACTACTGACTCAGGGGTGGTTCTGAAAGTCACGGGCTTGTTAAGGCTTAAGGGGTAATCAATGTAGTGGGCTGGGGTCCTAAAGCCAACACACTAGGTGTCACCGTTAATGAAGAAACTGCTGGTGCCCAGCAATAGAGGCATCGGAAGGAGCACAGCATGTATTGCGCAGAGGTCATTCAGATCCTGCCCTCCTCCCCCCATCTGGCGTGGTGATTGCAGCAACTGTTAGCAATTTCGATTGAATTTATAAAGCACATGGTCTGCGGTGTGGACAGTTGTCTTCCCTGTTCACTGAAATCATTTGGATCTTTCCCCGCTTCCTGTGGCTGCCTCCCCACAACTCTCAGCATTGCTGCAATTACTGCCAGCCTGTAGCTTCCAGAACTACCGGTTGCTGAGATTCTTCAAACACATGACCGTATGATGTAACAGCTGTCAGCAATGTGATAACAGGGCTCTGTCGTGAGGTGCTGTGGAATTGTCTGAAGTCAGTCGCAATTGAGCCTTGGGTGTTCCCTCCATTTGTTTTGAGGTTCTGTTCCCCTTCTCGCGTGAGGTTCTCTCTCCCTTGTGGTGTCGCTTGGACATATAAGAGATGAGCAACATGAAAAGGATGACAGTTAAAATGATCCTGGCCTGGACACCCGCCATCCCTGTCACTGTTGGAGTTCTTGGAATCTGCGACATCACAGCGGGCGGCAGAAACGAGAAGACCAGGACACCCACCATCGCTGTTCCTGCTAGTGCTGAGGTTTGGCCCGGGGATCAGGGACCAAACCGTGGTACGGTCCTAATGCAAACCCACGCATGCAGAACCCTGCTTGGGAAATTACAACTTCCTGGGCAAACACATCTTTTCGAGTTGGGGGTTCTACTCTTTCATGATATTCTTAGACGGCTCATACGTAAAGCATCCGACAACGACGAGGACGAGGACGACGACGATGACTACAACAATGAAAGCAGAGGTGGCAGCAGTGGCGACAGTGAACATCAAGCAACATAAAAAAAAAAAAACCAACTTCAAAAACACTCCTGCCGCTACCACTGCCATGGCATGGACCAACCGCCACCACAATCGTCACGAACAACATCATCATCGTCATCGTCGTCATCAGCATCTACAGGGTGGAGATAACCCGAGACATGTGCAAAACCCCGGCAAGAGCAGGCCGGCCTTCTGAAAGTCTTGGGCCGCTTTATTCGCAGCACTTGCTACCTGCACACTATCCCACGGACCAGGCTTGTCCGGTATGTGCAGGGCGGATTTTAGGGAAATGGGAACTACAACAAACATTTGATTTCTTTCATTTGAATTTCAGACCTCCCTCCGCTGCTTGCAAAATTTGCAATGAGCGACCCATAACATCCACAGTGCCTTGCACACAGCACCAGGGAAGGATTACTTGCGAAGTTGGGGTATGGCGGCGGAAACTGTGTGACTCCTGTCGTAAGCAAGTCTTGCAAAGTGCTGCGGGTCCCAGTCACAAGGTTGTCAGAGTCAGGAGGGGCGGCGACAAATCATACCAGGCGGGAATGCTCAGGACGAATTGAGTCAAACTCGCGATAGTCCTAAAGATCTTCTGAATCCTCTGGTAGCAGAAACAACAGCACGACGCTCTTTGAAACTCATGATCCCACACTCCGAAGGCTTTGCTGTATGAAGCCCCTGAACTCCTAGTTATCAACCATGTGGCAAGTGATCTAAAACTCCAGAAGATGGAGGGTCTAGGAGCAGCACCCTTATCCCGCGGGCTAGGCCCTTCGACAAGATCAGCACCCAACAAGAATGCACAGTTGTTACCCGCAGCTACTCCGTAAAAAGGCCATAAGGCCGACTTCCTACATCTGACATGCACAACACATTCGCTCAGAACGCAACACGATTACAGGGTTTCTTGGCCGCGTTTGAAGCATGCAAGCTTCCTCGGTTGAAGCCACCTTCACAATCCTCTCTTCACCAGGCGTTGAAAGGAAATAGAACAGCTGGACACCGGCCTCTTGATCGGAATCTAACTTTCAATCCTTTACAACCCAAGTTCGGGGCTCTAGCTGAGCAAGTCCAAATCGTGTACACTGCCATGAACCATTGAAAGCCGGACATTCCTTGAACCTTCATGACTTGCTGTGGACCAGTGCCCCGCAGTGAGAGCCTGCGACACCCAGTACTACTCTGCTAGAAAATCCAACACAAACCACCTGCCGCTGAGAATCTAAATAACAACACAACGACCCCAAATCGTAATCTGGTTTAAAATAATTCCAAGACGTGGCACCTACCCCCTTCAGTGCCTAACGTTCAGAGGATGCCTCATCAGATTTCTGTTTCATGGCGTTCTGCGCATCGCTGACCACCTGTGCAAGTATGAAGACGACCTATCGCGTGAAACAGGTGATTCTACGTTTTCCAAAAGAATCGGGCAGGCGTGCCCAGAGGAATCTTGAATGTTCTTCCCAACCTTCGCGTGCCATCAGTATGTCCTTGCTAGAAGCCCAGAACTGTCGATCTCAAAACTGAAGCCCCAAACAGGTTTCGACCCTTACATCCCAGACAAAAAGTAGCCGCCACTTCTAACATTTTAAGTAATTCCTCAAAAGAACGTGGCACATTCAACAAGAAGATCCAGAACTGATTTTTCTGCTACACAAGCTACAGGTCATAGCTCAGGGCTGGAGATTGCCAATGGGTCACAGGTTGATGAAAATCACACGGCCTGGAGTCGGCTGCGCGGGTGGAACCGGGTCAAGCCACTGAGGGTTGGAAAGGACACAGTGCTGAAACAAACTCGCTGGCGGTGAGTTCTTAAGGGCTCTGCTGCCTGAATACATCAAGGCACTACTGCTCAGACGTTGATGACATATGGATCGGCCTTGTTTGCAGCAGAGCTCATGTCGTTGATGGCATTCTCAACCCTGAGCTTCTCCGCATGAGGGCTTCATTGGGATTTGGGGTTTGTGGCTAGCGGTTTCGGAGTAGTGTTCAGACGACCATGTTTGAGGATTCTGAGTTGTGAGGGTAAAGTGTAAGCAAGCATGTCACAGCAAATGTGCAACCATATGAGTACTGAAGCTTGCTCAGATTCATAAAGCTTGGAGTTGTATTCAAGTATCCTGCTAGGTGTCGTCCTACGCGGCCAGAAAAAAGCCAGCTAGTGATCAGAAGGAAGTCTATTCGTTCTCATCGAGCATGCTTGGGCACGAACCTGTTAACTAAGTTGCTAGCGCATCCATCTACCTGTGTGAATAATGAACGCTACAATCTCAAGCAAACAGGCGTCTTTGAGGACCATGACCCCGAAGCTTCGTTTCGAAAGGCCTTGCGCCAGGAATGGCACCCAAACTTGGCAGCGCCGTTTGGAGGTCCAATCGTTTGCATTAAGATTCAAACTCACGGACTTAGACTGCTTTACATAAAGCTGAAGATTTCGACATAGCCATGTACTGGGTTGCTTACGGATACTTGCCAAATTACAAATGCCAGAATCCACAAAAAAATGTAGAATCACGTTTTCTTGATCATCCTAAGAGCTGTGTAGTCATGTTTGGATGTTTAGAGATAGAGACTTGGCTCCGTGAAGCCATTTCGAAACTCCTTGCACAGAGAACAAGAGGAACTCTGTGAGAACTTTGGTAAAGGATCTGTACCTTCCCCACGGAATCCCTTCGCATCCCGAGGCCCCAGGATCTGCGGTATCCGTGGAATTAGTACGCCAATCACTGCACGGGTTTCCCTTGCTGAGCTGAACTCAAAGGGCTGGCACTAAGAATTTTTGTCCTAAGGTCCTTCTGTGGGATTTCATCTCAACCCTATGAAAGCTACACAAGCCAAACCTTGTCGTGCATGTGCACCCAAGGTGATCTGTGAACTGCTAGGTTTGCCTTTCTTCACCTTACTATCTTTCTCTTCTAATTCCTTACATTGCCACATGACGATCAAATCTAGGGTTGAAGGCGCAAAGTCAAGAACATCTAGCATGCTCAGATGGCAGTCAACGCGTTCATAATGTTTTTGGGCTTGCCAAGACATGCAAGCAACCGTCACCGCTGTTGAGCGGTGCCCAGTAGATCCATTGCATGTTTCGATACGTCCCGGGGAAACGGACATCACCCACCTGATCACACCAGACATGAAATTTTTACCTCCCCTGAGATAGACCCCGCCCGTTTTCTGCTACATCCGCTCCTGCTCCTGCTTTTGCTTCCGAAAGTGTTAGCAGCTTGTTGTCTTCTCACAGGGGTCCACAGCCCCCCCACGCACAGCATGCTTCCGTCTACTTGAAATTATGCTCCAAACTGAATATAATCCCCAAACTGAAAATAGTCCCCACTGCGAAGGCTGCCAAGAAAGACTCCATTTGGGAAACCCCCAAAGTCTACAACTAACCGCTGCCGAGAAGCTTCTTCTTGGCAGCTTCGGCCGCTTCAGACGCTCCCTGCGCTGTCAGCGCACGGATGGCATGGGAGACTTTAAGGCTTTGAAGGTTTCCGGATGGGAAGTTTCCGGATTTTGTAGTCTTGGGATTCCAGATTGATTTGTGGTATGAGGGCTGTGGTATGGGTACCTCATAAAGCGGAAGTGCAATTCTTCAAACTACAATTATCCCAAACGTTGAACCCTGAAGAACTTTCCACCACGCAGTCGCGGGCCCAGACAAGTTGGTTGAGGCTGACATGGGTGAAGTAGGATCTGAGTTTCGCGCGGTTGATGATTGATGGTGGGGGGTTGGGGGCTTGTTGGGAAAAGCTTTGAAGGCCAAGCTGCCTGGCCAATTCACGTCTACGCAAACCCACATCCCTGTAACCAATGTCGATGACGTCTGAAATACGTGCTTGTAGAAACTGACAAATTAAAGCTGTGTCATATCCCTCTCTGATGTGGTTGCGGCATGTTGAAATCTTCTCCTGGCCACAAAGTGATGACAGATAAGCTAAGCTGCAAAGCCCATGTAGCATCGGCCAAACTCTCGCTCCATGCAACCTATGTGTCTGCTCTCCTAGCATATGTGAGAGTTGAGGAAGCTGTTACAGGATTTTTGCCATTGAATTGTACATGTCGGTGGGATGAGCCGAGTTTCCATTGAGCTGACATCTGAAGAATTGGCCCACACCATGGTCGTCCATCGGGCCAACGCCACTGAACACAACCCCACGAAGGCTTGGTCCAGCAGAAAATGATGATCACCAAAATACACTTTCGGGGATGGGGATGTTCAGAGGTCGTGCTCAGCTGATTGCATACTCTGCAGAGTGGCATCTGGACAATGCGTATGCCTAGCGCTCAGGCAAGTAGCACCAAACTGGACTGAGCTTCTTACCAATCTCTTTGGATACAAGCCGTACAAAATATGTATCCCGCGAGAAATGAACATCAGCTTCAACAATCTCCCTGGAACGGCCCAAGAGCTGTATTGAGCAATGACTTACCCAGCCTGGTCGACTTCTTTTGCCATCTCCTCAGAGCACATCCCTCTGGACCATGTAAACATCATGCAGGGATCCTTTGCATGCCCAACCCTAACCTGCAAGCTGAACCGTAGACCTTGGAACCTAGTCAGCTGGCCTCACATTTTAGCACTGGCTGCTAGGACTGGACAAGCTTGCCCCATAGGCTCTGGATGGTGGACACCAACATGACTGGTAAACTTAGAACCTTTCCAAAAGTAAGAAGATGTTGTCTCAATATTCGTCTTAGTGCTTCGTGTCTCTGGAAGACCTGGAGCTTGCAGCGCTTGAAGCGTGCGGCTTCAGTTCTTGCGGGCTACTTAGCTGGTTGTTTGCCGGAAGGCAGTTAGATTCGATGTCCGTTGTGTCTTTTCGCGTCACAGGAGAACAGTCTTCCGTGCAAGTACCACGCGCATCGCAATCTAAGTGGTATCCGGATGGATGATGGATGATACCAGCATTCAGGTGGTGCACGACTACAGCTCAGGTTCTTTGTACTGCATGACGAAGCCATCAACTCCCTCCTTACATTGTCGTACAGCAAAAAGCTCATAGCTGCTTCGGATCCTAGTCCGCTCCACATTTTAGAAATCACGTCCCAAACGCTTGAGAATCACTCTGCAACCTTCATGCTGGTAGAATCTTTGTGTCATCCCTTGCGATCCTGATATTACCCTGATCTGCATTCAGTGAGCCTTCAATTTCAAACCCTACGCCTCAGAACCAGCCCCTCAATCATTATGATTTATGATAACAGAGAAGTGTAAAGCGAGTGCAATGAGAAAAGAATTGCGTGCGTTGCCTTCTCTTGCTCATACTGCTTCATTGCATTCGGAGACAACCTGTGCACAGCAAGGTGTGGGGTGCAAGGGGTTTATAGAGGTTACCTCTTGGGAGCCTCGGCCTCGGGAAGACTCTTTGGCATGATGTCTAATATTTGCCAAACGTTTTTGATATCTTTCCTTCTATATCGCTCATGCTACTCTTGTATAATTCCCAAACGACGCTACATACAGTGCCCCCTAGGCAACTGGAATACCAAACCTTGGGTAGTATCCGAAATGAGGTGCTATAGTACAGTACTAGATACCTGTTTCTAAACCTTCCATAAAGCCTTGCATGCAACACATGATTCAGAAACATGCCATTCTCTGTGCCAAGACACACATTGGCCCAGACAGAATCAGCGGACAGCTGGACCACCTTTTGCCCGCAACTTGCAGGGCTATTGGCTTGGGGTTGCCTTCCTAAGCAAAGACACATGGGGACTTTACTGGACTGTGTCAAGGCTCGCTGAAAACTATTAGGTCGGGATCCTTTCGACAAGCAATCCCATGTTGAGATTGCTCATCCTAGGGTCAGTGTAAGGCTAGAGTCGAGGTGGGAAAATTACAGCTGACACAGGGGATTATGCAGCAGTGTGATGCTCTATTGCCGAAGAACTTTCGCCAGCCCAAAGTCGAGGTCCTAACAATGTGGTTCAATTGTGATGCCTGGTGGCTCAAGGTTGGTGGTTCAGGCAGTGGCTCTAGGGCTGCTGTAGAGTGCAGCTCCTGGCTGCAAATTGCTGGAAGTTCTTGTTTGAAACGGTATGCCGTCCAGGCGGAGGCATCCAATGCGCATGCACCAGCTTGTAGATGGACTTTCGTTGTTGGCAAGGGTTTGCCTGTAGCGAGACGTTGAAAAGGAAGCCCCCTAACGCCCTCATGCTAAGATGAGGCTTAAGAGGACTTACTTGGAGTGGAGTCTGGGCTGGATTTGACTTTTTTTGACATTGGTTCTTATATTCAGAGCATGATCGAGACTGAAGGTAGTTGCTAGTGGTGGCGGCGGGATGGTGGGAACTAAGGCTTGTCAAGGACGAGGATTTGCATCATCATCATCATCATCATCATCAGCAGCATCATCATTGGAGCATCGACTAGGAGCACAAGCCGCCGTAGCAGTAGTGCAAGTGAGATGCTTCATATTATGGAGTATCTAAACAAATTAGGTCTGGCTCGGAAAGAGCGAAAGACCTCAGCTTGTGGAACCCTGGGGCCAGGCACGGAGCCGCTGGACTTGCGGACGCTGGCCTTTCAGGACGAGGTTTGGCGGTTTTATGGGATGTTTCAGGTTTCAAGCTTGGGATACTTGAAGAGTTGAACTGCAATTGTTCTGTGGCGTTAGGTGCAGGATGAATGTTGAAATGTTTGGGCCGAAGTCAGCGCAGGTGGAAAGTTCTAGAGGCGGGCTTCAGGTTTTCACCTGGCAGTCTGTCTGCATACCTCGTTGAGTCGGACAAGGGTGAGGATGTCTTCTGGTATACATCTTCTTGTATACATGACAGCTGCAGAGACACATGAAAAGGCAAAGTTGTAAAGCAAAACACTGCGAAGCAACGCACACTGCGCCTAAACACATCTTTTCGATGCATCAGTATTATCCGAAACGATAACTTTGAATTGCAGACTGCAACTGCATCGCACTCAATTCTGACCCGTCTCCAATGAGCAATGCCCCCAAGCTGCAAGCCCGATGCCCTGGCCAGTAGCTGCCACTTTGCGCAGCAACACGGAAGTGTAAGCATACCCGGTATACCTCTTGGACATTGCCATACCCTCACCGTGAAGCCCAATAAACGAACCGAAACCGCGAAACCGGCTTCCGCCCCCTGCCAACAAAATGTTGCTGGCTGCCAACACAAGAGGAGTGCAAAGCAGAAGGGGGTCACAACTATCAAGCCCACACAACAAAGTGCAGTCCAAGAACTCTATGCTGCTCAAACAGGAGATACCAGACACACTCGCCATATGACACACGAATACTGACAAAGCTACTACCGATTATAGCGCTTCATCTTTGCACAAAGATCGGCCAGAATGCAGCAGAAAGCCCCCAACATCCAAAGCGACCCCAAGCACAACGCAAACACCGTGAATCAAGTGAAGACTCTTGAGAAGCCGATCTCGGTTTAAAACAAGTGCTCCCGGAACCTTGGGCCCAGAGGCAAAGATGGCGGCGGCCACAGCTACTGCTGTGAGGGCCAGGAGGCTTACAGCCACGAGCGAGGTCCTGGCGGAAAATTAAAACTTAAGATTCACGGTTCGCAGGCTACGTGGCTTTAAGGGGCTTGAGGTTTAGGGATACATGTAGGCTGTGGCTGTAGGCATTACAGGCCAGGTGGCGGTACATGACGTGAGGCATTCAAAAAATGCTTACCGCAGCTTGTAACTCTAGCAGAATGCATTTTTACGGTTAATAATGCAGAATGATCACTACATTTTTGCAGCTGTTACAATGCCTCCTCATCGCACGCTTCAATACTCTGAAGTTGTAGCACATGACACTACTACACTTGGGCTCTACACTGCAATAGTACTACCACCCAATGCTCTTTGAAGCGTGCTTAGCAGTGAGTTGGACGGAGGACCCGTCACGGCTGCAAGGCTCCGCCTTGCAGGCCTGAAGAAACTCGGAGCTTTGAGTAAGGTTCAAAGATGCCAAATGCAGGCTTTGGCTCCGCCCTGTGCCTGGCACCAGAAGCTGGTGAACCACCCTTTGAAAGAATCTCCTGAAACGCTTTCATGTGAATGTTCTTGACAACTTTACCCCGCACAACAGTGATGACAAGCAACAGATCCAAAAAGATAAGGAAAGTATCGCTCCTCATCATGAAGCCGACGGCAAGAGAATGCAGACAAACACCAAGCAACGTCATGATGGAAGGATAGCGGCGCAAACAAAGTCGCAGCACTGCAGCAATACTGGGTAAGGTATGGTAGTCAACATAAGCTCCGAACTAATGCACAAAACTCGGGCATGAACCAGACTAGCAGAAAACAGCATAGAGCCGGTCAGAGTCGCTTAGACCCTGCTGACCACGACTGCCAGGAACATCTCCAATTTGGGTACTGTAGCAACCTTACACCCGAAAGTTCGAAGTCCTATGACTTCGACCTCCAGTCCTTAAGCTTTACCCAAACCTCAGACACCTGCTGCAAATCACTGATGTGTCCTGGACCATCTGCTCTGCCTCATCGCAAGATCCAGTATCAAAGTTTTCAAAGTTAGAGGGTCCTGGCTGTAATTGACTTACGAATTTCGGACGCTCCAGAACTAGATCAGCGGAAGGGCCACTCCGGAACTCTTCCAAAAGCGGGTTAGTTGCCCAAGGTTTGACCCAAGCGTAGAAAATCTGCAGAACGCAAGGTGGGCAGCATACTCTGCAGTGCCTGGACTCCCACAAGAATATGGTTCTCAAGTGCAATGTTCCTGCATGTTGATGTCCAATCCCTTTGTGTTTTGGTCTGGCCTGCAGGCAACAGCGGAATGTGAGGCCCAGACTGTGTGACATCAGGTCAAGAATAGGAAACCGAGCACATGCCGAAGCATCTCCATGTTGCACTTCGGGTTTTGGGTTAGTGTATCCAAGGGAAGGCCATCAAGAAGACCGCAGAATTCAAAGGGTTGTGTGGCTTGTTTGTATGGTTATGTATACTGCCAGAACACAGACTTCAGCAAGGATGACGTTCACGCAGCTCTGTTGCGAATGATGTTGTACATACCGAAAAAAAGTTAGTTAGAGGTGCACAAGCCGGTCCCTACACGTGGAGACGGCATCCTGGCAGTTAGCCGAGTTAGCCTGGCATAGGCGTTGATGGGAACTAACCAAAAGGATTGACCAAGTCGAGGGGGAATACACGCTTGCTATTAGCTAGAACTGCCAGTGAAACTTACCTTGATCCATAGCGCAATGCCTTGTTACTGTTGTTACTGCATCAAAGTCCATGAGAATCTCTGGAGAATTAACTCCCTTGACATCAATTGGATTCGGGGTGCTCACCTTTCCGGGTTCAGCAATCCCACCAATCCCTGGAAGGTATGCACATGAAACCTGAGAAGGCCATACTAGGCCTTGTGAAGGTATAGAGCCAACCCCTGAACCCTGACAAAGAGCTTCATGAAACCACACTGAGCTCACAACTGCTTCTGCTCTCCTCGAAGCATGGTGTGCGTCTCAGACATCGACTCCATGTCGTAGATCTCCTCTCAGAAGGCACAGGTTAGCTTGAGAGCCGCTGCCCTCATTAGGGTCATTTCAAGCCAACCTCACACTCAACATGGAGTTGGCTTCTCTGTGAGTTAAGGATGCAGATGGGTTGAGATTTTGGCAGATAGAGTCAGATGGAGACTGAGCTCCTCTCAAGATGCTGCAGTTGCCGCTCAAATCCTAGCCCAAAAACCTGGAAACGAGGAAGGCTGCATGACACGATACAGGCCAGCAAGGTAGACTGATTGACCAAGAAGCCGCATTACAGTAGATATGAAACTCTAGACTTATGAAATCATGGCATGATTCGTCATGGAGTTGTAGCAATTGCACTTCCCAAAATCCACAACCGCTAGGGGACCCATTTCTATAGTTCCCAAAATCCCAAAGTTTTAAACTTCGCTTTTGGGAAGACCCGATGGACAAATGAATCCGTAGAGGTCTTGCCAGAAACCCAAATGCTTCCTAGATGGGCCTGGGTCTGCTCCAACTGCCGTGCCATGGCACCAGGAGCGGCTGTAGGAGGTCCAAAAAAAAAAACGATGCTACCCTCAAAGCCTCAGAGCCTCAGAGCCTCTGAGTTGGGATAGGGTTCAGAGGGGCTTCCAGGGTCAGGGTTGAGCACTCTAGGCTTGTGAGACTGCAGACGTCCCGGGGCTAGCACAACGTCAAACAAGGTTTCGGATTTCGGGCTTACTGTCTAGGCTGGACTTCATCGACCTCGGATTAAAGCCTGAGACGAAGCACTAAACGACGCCAAAGGTTTCAAGGACTGGCTTCCGCAACGCATAGATGCTGCTGGCTGGTTTCTTTGGCTAGGGTAGTCGTCCTGGGAAGCGAAGATGCACTTGGTACCATACGTCAGCAGCTACCAGCAAAACTCCTTTGAATGGTAGGAGCAGCATCCATGCGGCCATGCAGCCAAATGCACAAACGAAACCAGAAAAATGGTCGTTTTCGTCGTAGTCTGGGTCGTTTTCGTCATCGCTGTCGCAGTGAAATCGCCATCCTCCTCGTCATCGTCGTTTGTCATCGTCATCATCCTGGTCATCCTCCTCATCCTCGACATCGTCATCCTTGCCATCGTTGGCGGCACAATCGCAGTCACAGTGTCAGCAGGAATCAGAGTAGAAAATGCAGCAACTCACGCATTGGAATTTAGGCATTTCCTTGGTGTTGAAGCTTCAGGCTTAGGTTCAACGGCGGGCCAACGTTCCTCAGGGTACCTGCTCTGACACACATATCGAAAAAGAGGTAGTAGTTCTCAAATGTCAGGATGCTTGACAAAATGGAAGCAAGATATTCGTTCGTGGCTTTTGGAGGCTAGCGCTACTGGCATATCAGACACACCCTGGCTGCGTCTGAAGGCCTCTTCCATTGATGTGCTGCAACTTCCCATGGACAAGTTGAAACACCACGCGCATGATTCGTTTTTGTCTCGGAATGTGTTCCATCCTGGCGCCCAAGCGCCCGTGTGAAAGCACTTCGGTGCTCACGAGGCATCAGTGTCATCTGCCTGCTCCGATACCAATTCAGACCATGTGAGCAATCCCTAGACTTCAAGGCAGAGCATTTTAGGAAGCATCCGCAACTCATCTCTTGCAAGCTACGGTATCTTGAGATCTAGTGTTCCGTGCCCTTGGTATTGCGACCCCACTAAGCCTTTTGATCTCTCGAGCATGCAGCATTGGTGCCTAGACTGTACATGCGCATACAGAGGTATCATAAGAGTGCAATGGTATCACCATTCAGTTTAAACTGTTTCGCTGTGAGCTGCCCACCTTCACCGGACTTCCATCCCCCCGGCTGCCAATATGAAATGTTCTGTCGGTTCAATCTGGCATTCAAGGGGAGCCTGCTGCGCCTTTTGCGGAAAGAAGCTTCCGTGTCCGCTGGTAGCCGCCAAAGGGGACACATACTCCTTTACCTGGCCAGACACATGCTCATTTCCCAGTAAGTAGCTTACTGCTAGGTTCCCTACATGTCCTAGAACTCAGATGACACTGCCAGTGCTACCTGCGAACAGATACAATCAAAGAACACATAAAGCTTAGTGGAGTCCTGTGTCAGCCTTCGCTATATATGCTAACATTGAGATCTGGCATTGTCTTTCAACAATGTATCTGCATCCACAGCAGCTATGCATGAGTACATCCACACAAGAAACCAAAGATCCTAGTTGGCAAGATGCGAAGATTGCTTGCAGAATTCATTGTTTGGGATGTTTATGCATGATGTTGCATGATGAGCGAACCTTGCACAAACTCAAAATGCGCGAAACGCGCTCCTGGTGACGGGTCTGAGGGAAGAAACATGGAACCGAAGCTGAGTAGCGCCTGTCTGGACAAGCCATCTTAAGACTTCATGACGCACCCCTAAACCTGCACCCCTCCAACAGCTCTCTCGGTCGGCTCTGCCTGCTCCTCCTCCTGAGCTTAGAAAGCAACACATTCCAAGATTGGTTTTGGCCTCTCAAAAGGAGCGGGCCGGCTTCGAGATACACCCGAACAAGCAACAACGGCACCTCTGCATCTATGCAGAGGAAAATGGGAATATGATCGCCCATAATTATTGTAAGGTCATACTTTAAAAGGTCCCTCAACCTTACTCATGATATTCGAATTTCTGCATCGAGCCATGACATCTTTGAGTACAGCACTTTCGGACAGAGGCGGTCGTAGATAACAGACGCAATGATGCCTTGGATGCGAAGCTTGGTTTTGGGTTTGGGGACTATGGCTTCAAGATGGGAGTGTAGAAAGATCCTCATGTGGCATGCGAAATATTTGGAGCCGGACTGATGGCCAACACCGCGAACAGCGTAATGCACACGACCTTACAAAGATTGACAGCCGACATTCAGCAAACTGTACTCTATTTACCTATACACATAGTCTCGCCTGCGCCGGAATGTGGATCACTCCACGAAGTACCTGTTCAGCACAATGCACTGCTTGCTGAAGGTGTCATCCCTTGCCAGAAATCAACGCCAAAAACTCCGCGTTATCGGGCACCAACTTGG